CCACTTTTAGGGATAGGAGAGAGGTAGTTCCCTTAAGTACTGACTCCAGATCTTGAACAAGGGGCCCCACCCTCTCATTGGCCTGAGAGGGATTTAGTTTACTGGTTGGATCACAAACCAATTGTTCATTAGAGGATTAGTGGAACATAAGGAACAAGAAGTAACTTCAGGGGTAAAACGATAAATTGACGTAGCTCTAGTTACGAACAACCTATGAAGGATTGACTTACTAATCATGGTTATATCAAATGGACAGAAATATATCTATAGTGAGGGGAGTGCAACTACTAGGCCATAGTGGAGTGTCCTAGTACTTAACGAATGTTGGTTAACAAGGTTAATGAGTTTAACTGGTTAATCTTAGATCGTTGGAGCCCATGAAATATAGGTGATGGTGTTAATATAACATATGCGGAAGAAATTTGGATCTTAGGCACTCTATGTACATCAATTATAGTAAATTAGCTAGCATGTTCAAAAGCATTAAAACTTAATGAGTTTGAATACTAACCGTTTGTAGTTCAAATTTCTTTTTCCTCACGAACCGGTTTTGAACCACCACTATTATCTTCCCTACTATTCCCTAGCCTTAGAACGGGATTGTGGAATCCGGTGAGTGACTAAACTTGATAGGAGTTTAATATATGAAAAGAGAGAGTTTTGAGAGAATTTCTCAAAGTTTTTCAAGCATTCTTTCCATGTACTTTGATCACTCTATTTATAGAGTCATATTTGCATGTTCATGCAAATTTCAGATTACCAAATTTTGACACTCAAAATTCCACTCAAATTTGTGGGATTATGTGGCAAGCATGCAAGTTTGAATTAACCTAATGTTGTTACTCAAAATTCCACTCAAATTTGTGGGGTTTATTTGGCAAGCATGCAAGTTGGAATTAACCAAATTTTGACACTCAAAATTTCACTCAAATTTGTGCGGTTTTTTTTGGCAAACATGCAAGTTTGGTCAATCCAAAATTTGACACTAAAAATTCCACTCAAATTTGTGGGGTTTATTTGGCAAACATGCAAGTTTGTTCAAACCCAATTTTTTACACTCAAAATTTCACTCAAATTTGTTGGGTTTAATTGGCAAACATGCAAGTTTGTTCAAACCAAATTTTTACAATCAAAATTTTGACTTCATTTAATGGAAGAATCGATGTTTGAGTTAGTGGAATTTTGAGGTGTCAAAATTTGGTTTAACCAAACTTGCATGCTCTAAGATTCAAATTGCTTCCGCATGTGTTATATTAACTCCATCATTTCGTTTGTTAGTCAACAGGTCGGGTAGGATTTTGAGCACGCGGATCGAGCTCATGTTCTTTGTTACTGTTTGAGTTATAGAGGGTAGACTGGGTCGTGTGCGGTTTAGCGAGTAAAGTGGTGTCTCACAACACGTCCTTGTTGACTGGTTGACCCATTGACTAAGTTGAAGTCCCTAAATCGTACTTGGAGCTAGTTCAATTTTTCCCTTTGAAATCCAAGTAAACCTATGCGAGTTCACGACACTTAATTAGCACAGATCGAGCAAAATGAAATATGGATGGAAATCCAAAATACTTTTAACAAAATAGAAAAGAAAAAGAACAATACAAGAAGAAGAAGAAAGAAAAAGGAGATATTGTAAAGCCAAACCAGTAACAAAAAAGAATAGAATAGAATAGAATAGAATAGAAAAAAAAGAAAGAAATAGGGATAGAAAATTTAAGAGAAGGTGTGGGAGCAAGAATTGATTAAAAGAAAAAGGGGAAATTTAAAGAATTAAAATAAATACGGTTAATTTTAAAAATACATAGATGAAATTTAATAGAGTAAATGGTGAACATAATTAAAATTAATAAAAAGGGAAGTAGATGAATTAGAGGAAATTTAATACAGAAAAAATTAAGGATTTGGTGAACCTTCAAAGATAAAACTAAAGAAATATCATGTGAAGAAACTCCATCAAATTCTTTTAGTACCAATATATATAATCTGCTCATAGAGTCTCTAATGCTCACATGAAGTCTAACACAGGGACCATTGTAAAATTTAAAGAATTGAAATTGAAATTGATGTCATGGTTCATATAGGTTGACTTGAATATAAAGGACAAAATCGAACTTTCTCAATGATAAATTGGTGACACCAGCCTAAGCTAATCAGGTAAGTGGCCTTACTATCGGCATAGTTATATTTGATATTGACACGTGCCATGTGGTTCTGCACGTGTCATATATATTGGTATGTGTGAATTGTTTATTAATCGATATGCTTATGATATGGTATTCATCATATGGTATTCATATGATATAATATGTGAATTGCATATTAATACTTAAGGCTGTGATAAATTAGGGAACGATATGACCATGAAGTGTTTACGATACGATATGATTATGATACGGCACCTGAATTACATATATATATATATACACATTGTGATATGATATGAAATATGTTATGGTACGAGACAAATGATAAGTGACATGTTTATGATATGATATATTGTGATGGTATATGTTATGGTATGATAGGTATGAAATGTTACATCTTTCCATGTAAAGTTATGTGATGTTTAGCCATGTATGTGTGATACATACATGAAATATGTTATGGAGGGAAGGAGAAAGGAAATGAAATAAATGTTATCTTATAAATAAAAATCATGGGACCTCGTGCATGTATGTATGTCATGTGTATCGAGATACTTCCCCGTTATGTTATGTTAGTACGGATGCATACCTTTGATATTTATGTTCGACATGTTATCATGAAGACCTTTTCTTTTATGAGGGTCCAGTGACGTGTGTTGTGTTGTGCCCGACAAAGTCATCGTCTATCTTTTATAGATAATAAATAACAACAACCTTTTTGTGTTATCCCATTATTTTTCATTTGTTCCTCAAGGATAATTCAACCAAAAGGAGATAATAAAGATTCTCTATCTTTTATAGATCCACTTGTGAATCAATTCATCAACATTAGCAAGAAAGTTTCTCAAGTAAATTCCATCATCTTTAGCCGTCCAAATACAAGTTCCTACAGTTCCATGTTTGCACCTATCACGGAGCCATAAGTGCTGCGTTTCAAGCCAAAAGCTTTCAAAAGAGACATATGCATGTGGTGTCTCCAATTTGCACCAATAGAGGGTTGTTTCCCAAAAGTTAACTTTGAAGTTCCATTTGTAACCATCTCCATGATTAAGCAAGCGGTGATACCCCAAGTCATCGTCTTTAGACTGACAATGCACAAGCAACCCAAGTTTGCTTAGTCCGTTAACCACATGAACGTAATATCTAGAAGGTCCTGGTAGTGGTAACGCGACCCTTGGAACCTGAGCCCCAACTAAAGCCACCGTGAAAAGAAAGAAAACGACAATATTCTTTATCATTTCCTAATCAACCTTTAGCTTAACTACCAATTTGGGTTGGACATGTGAATAAATATACATACTTATAGTACATGCAAGAAATTATGTAAATGCATGCTATGGCTGTAAAAAAAACTTAATCATATAACTAATTTCAGTTATGCAACCCAATTTAAGAGTAATTTTGGGATAATTTCAGAGATTTATTAGATTTTCAATAACAAAATTCCTTGAATAGATAATAGTTATTAGCCCAAGAATAATAAATATTAAATTGATTTTTACAACACTCTCATAAAACAACAAAATATGAATACTTTCTGGTAGAAAATATAAAATATTGAAAGCAATTCATAGATTACATATGGTATAGCACCCAAGTCCAACAAGGTATTAAATTCCCGATTTACTTTTTTAAGTTGAACTTTCAAACCTTTTACGAGGACCTTAGAAATTTTAAGGTGAGGTAGAACAGATAAGTTCAAAAAATTCTAGAACTATAGCTTCAAATAGGAATTGAGCAAGACTTCTTTCGCAAGAATTACTCAATGCCTGTTGGGAGAACCATTATGGGTTTTGATTTCATCACGTCACACCCTGAATCTCTAGGAAAATTTTTGCCAATCAATGTGTATAAAATAAGAGGGAAATCAAAATGTATTAATATATGCCAAATTAATCTAACGAGGGAAGGGTACGAGATACATGATTCCGTAGGTCCATAATTCCTCTATTACTTCTAAACTCCAGAGTACCCTCTCGTCACGATTAAGCAAACCTACTTCTAATCTCTCATCACATCCTTAACCTACCAGGGAACCAATTGTTTACTTTTGTCTCTAGAGTTTCCACACTCTTGATACAAAGACTTGGGCAGAAAACTTAGCCTTCGCAATGGTAAAAGGTGGGGAAGAACATGGTGAGTGTTGGTCTGCTTGCATCCATGGGAGTGTTAACTGGTGAACCCGTCCCACAGGCCATGAAGTAACCTATGGTGAGGGGGTGCTACCCCTCTGATATGAATCCAACAACTGATCACTTCCATGTACCCGTATGAGCAATTACAAGAAGCAATACAAAGAAGATACAAGTATAAAATCAAGAAAATATTGGAGTGGCTGACATTGGAAAGTGATTAGAAGACTTACCATTGGTAGTTGAATTACCAATTAAGATAATTTATGAATGCCTTATTTACTTGGATTTGTATTTAATAGCATGTGTAGTTGGTGGTTGAACTTTATTATGCTAGGGTTATCTTTTGGGCCTATTTAAAGGCATGTAATATTCATGTTTGAGGAGCATGAATTGTTGAATACAGACAAACCTTTGTGTTTTCTTGATACCCTTTTGGTGTTATTCTTTTCCAAACCTTACTTTAGGCTTGATGTTTAAACCGATTCATTGAATTAGTTTTGATCAAGCTAATTCTGGAGTGAATTGTCTTGGTATCTAAGAGTGACCATCATAGATTCCAAGTTTGATCTAAGCGCGTCCGTACGCGCACGTGTCTGTGCGCGTGGGAAATCCCTTCGGCGCGTTGGGCGCATGAACCAGTGCATGAGATCTATTTTTATCCCTATTTGACTTTCGTTCGACTATTTTTCATTTCAGCTTTGATACTGATCTAAGTCTAACTTGAATTAAGACCTATCAAGAAAATTCCAGAATTTTTGGAACCTTTTATGGCAAATAATTCGAGCTTGGGAAGGCACGCGTCAACCATGTAAGTAGCCATTTGGATTCCCACGAGCAGTACTTGTAGGAACCGCCAGGAACGAGCATGCATGCTACCACCCATAAACTTAGCTAGCCGGACCTAGCATATTTGTATGGAAACTGCGAAAATGAAATGATTAAGGATAGCTAGATATCAAATGTTTATTAAATCTGTTTTGATTGAGATTCTATTAAAGTATGTATGCATGAGAAGGATGGAAAACTTGTGAAATCTGCGTTCCGGGTAAAGATGGATGTTATCTTCCTATTGAGCATGTTTATTAATATTGCATGAACTGCTGCATGTTAACTCTTATGCGTGATGATTGCTTGTGTTATCTTTCTTGATGAATAGGAAGATATTATGAGCTTAGATTAGGGTGCTTGTGACTAAGTAGGCTAAGACGAGACCCTAGATTGGGGGACCTCTAGAATACCGTGCAATTAGACCCGCGAAATGATTACCAGCGGATCTAGAGCCCAAAATTCCAAACCCAATAGGTTGTGAGACCAGGCACGAAAATCCTAGAGATACATGAATCCAAGTCTAAGCCACCAAGTTCCACCCTAGAAAGAATAATAGGTCACCACGGTAACTGTAGGTAGCCCGCTAGAGTTGAGCAGTGTAGATAGTGTCATCAGAACCTCCACTTCCCTCTCTCCTCCGATACCGTACCGTCGAGACAGAGCTCTGGTACGGAGATCGTTGAGCTTGGCAGATCCGGAAAGGGAAATGTGACAGGTGCCCAGACCTAGTGGTGATAGCTAAGGGGTCTTCTCCTGGGCCGTAGAAACCCATCCCAATGCGGGGGACGTGGAGCCACACAGGATGACTCAGTAGCTGACCAGCACACAGGGGGTCGCACCCCGAATTTAGTGGATGTATGGTCCCGTGTGAGGGTCGTCAGCTAACCTCTACGGATTATGTTCAGAGAGAGTCACGTATTCAGATCCAGCCATACGATCCCCTAAGATTTACTTATGAGGTTGCGCCTCACCTCAGGACACTGATCATTTCACTGCTTAAGATGGGCAAACCTCCTAAGATACAAAAAAGAGAGTTGGAGCTTAGATCACTCTCCTTAAAAACCCGAGAGAGACCGTGGATACCTACCAAGATAAGGATGCTAAAAGTTGCTTACTGATTATATTTTTATACTCACCCCTTTCTCCCCTTTTTTTTCAGGTACCAGTCGATACGGGGAGGTGTTCGAGAGCTACACTGTCACAGAGGGGTGTCGTTCCGGAGCGTCAGTACCTTGTCGATATTTTAGAGTCCTTTGTCTGTTTTCATATTTAGAGTCTCTTGTATTTCATTTTATATTTGTAATTACTATTTGTAATATTTGACTTTGATTTTATATTTAATCTTGGTGTCCTTGATTTCCTTTTCTTGTTTTACCTTCTATTTTATATTCTTTTTATTTTTATTTGTTTTTTATTTCGTCTTGTTAGTCCCGATTCAGTCTTTCGAAGCCTCGAAAGTCGGGTTGTGATAGTACATGTTATGGTATGATAGGTATGAAATGTTACATCTTTGTACTCATTCCTTATTCTCCATTTTTTTCAGGTAAGGAGCTGGTCAAAGTTGGGAGTGGACTCTTGGGCAGGTGCCATAGAATAACCTCACCCGTCGTCCTCAACTATTTTGTTTTAAAATATTTTGAGTTCGTTTCTTATTTTGTGTTTTAAATATTGTCGTGCTGTAAATTACTTATGTGCGCACACTATTTTGTTATAATATTGTCTCACCCTCACCCTTCATGATTCCATTGGTCTTAGACCTCTAAAGGTGTTCAATCCAAAGTCTCGACCCACCAATATACGTACTTACCCTAGACTTAACTCGATTCTGTTACTTATTCTCAAAAGGGAGGGATCAAACAATCATTCACCAGGAGTCACACATGCTCAATGGGGCAATAACTTCCATCCAGCACCCAGAGTGCTGCTAAATAAACATCTCATCCACTTTCATAGCATGATTACTTACACTAATAGTAAAGTATATCAAGACAGTATACTGGGTAAGACAAGAAATTTCAACAACTAGCAAGTCTGTTTTCACTCTTAGTAACTTTTCTAGGTAGTTGTTAATCAAGAATAGCTACCTAGGATTAATTTTACTAGCATGCATTCATAAGCAAGCGAATTGTACAAGTACTGCTTCATAAATTTTCATGTTGTTACTTACATATTTGTCGTGTGCCTTCTCGAGCAGGATTATAGGATAAAAAGAAAGTCCATACACGTGCTAACGTGCTTTTCTAGCACAAAAGATGTTTTCTACGTGCTTTTACCACACGTCTGGCGGAGGTACAGTCACGGGACGCATGTCGTTTGTTAGTAAACAGGTTGGGTAGGATTTTGAGCACCCAGATCGAACTCCAATTCTTTGGTACTGTTTGAGTTACAGAGGGTAGACTGGGTCGTGTGCAGTTTAGCAAGTAAAGTGGTGTCTCACAACACGTCCTCGTTGACTGGTTGACCTGTCATTCCTGCCATGTTGTGATACATTTCAACTTTTTGCTAATACGCTTCTATCTCGTTGCCAAAAGCTGCGTGCGTATCCACGGTCGATTCTTCTGACGTTCAATTTTTCTAGATTTCGCTGAGCAACGCATTTCAATCTATTTTTTTGAATTGCTTTTTATCTTCCAATCGTAAACTAGAAATGACTTGGTTTCTTCACGAAAAATAAAGATATCGAATCAACCAATTTGATGCCCCTTTTTTTAATTGTTAGGAAGATAGAGACTATACTAATTCAGTTCAAATTTTGGAAAAACTATATTTTCTTATCGAAATTATAAATCTTTCGAATCTAATTCTGAAACAAACCATGGTCGAGTTTCAACACGAAACTTGTAAGAATCCTTTCCTGAAACATCGTAGTCAAATCAAATGATCCTACAACAAAAAACTGACACTCATCGATCCTCTTACTCGGACTAGAGATAAATTTTTTGCCAAATTTTTCATTATAGTGTCCGATTGGCATCCTCTTTACTTTCTTGTTTTTCCTCCTTCCACAAAAACCGAAATTCTCCCTTCCTCTCTCTTCTTTGTTTTCTATACACGCCATCCCAGATCCCTCAAATTATAAGGTAGAAAAAATTTATGTTTATCCATGTGATGTTTATCATTGTATGCGTGATACATACATGAAATATGTTATGGAGGGAAGGAGAAAGGAAATGAAATAAATATTATCTTATGAATAAAAATCATGGGACCTCGTGCATGTATGTATGTCATGTATATCGGGATACTTCCCCGTTATGTTATGCTAGTACGGATGCATACCTTCGATATTTATATTCGACATGTTATCATGAAGACCTTTTCTTTTATGAGGGTCCAGTGACATGTATTATGTTGTGCTCGACAATGTCCGGCCTAAGGGGCACGTATACCGATCCATCTGATGGGTCCATGTATGCGTACGTGGGCCGTGTGTTGAAAAGTACCATGCATCCAACTCTGTCAAGAATTGAAAAAAGACACTAGTGGTGGTTCGAAACTGGTTCATGAGGAAAAAGAAATTTAAACAATAAAAGGTTAGTACTTAAAAGATCTTTAGTTTTAAGACTTAAGAACATGCTAATTATTTACTATAATTGATATTCTAAGAGTGCCTAAGATCCAAATTGCTTCCGCATGTGTTATATTAACTCCATCAATTGGTATCGGAGCAAGTTTTAGAAACTTTATTTACATTAATTTGAGCATGGTGGGTACCATTTCATGAATGAAATTTTGTGGTTGCTAAAGTGGATGTTTTTGGTTTTGACATTTTTTTTATGCTTTCATTTGATACAATTATTGTAATTGGCCTACTGTGTAAGGGCTTTAATGAGTGAAGAAAGGTCTGTAACTTGTATGGAGTCATTAGAGTCCATTTTAGGTTGTAATTGATCGAAAATGGAAGAGAAAGCAAGTTGAACCGAAGAAGAAGATGGAAGAGGCAGTTTGGGTGTTTTTTCTGCTGTTGGGGTACGGTTCAATGTTTTTAGGGGTTGGTTCACCCAGTTTGTGATCCTTGGGAGCGGTTCAAGTTATTTTTAATTATTAATGTAATAATTTAGTTAATTGCTAGCTATTAAATGCCAAAATCAATCCATTTTAGTGTGTTTAATTAATTATGCATTATAAATGTATGTTTTAATTAAATAGAAAATGTATATGCATAATGTATGTCATATAGATTTAAAATCCCACCATAGGCTAAGCATGTTTTATGCATTCCAAGTATGTTATAAGTGTTATAATGTATAGTATGCATGTTGAGGGTTCCATGAGTGATAGATATAAATTGTTATATTATTGCATGGAATGAATGATTATATAATTGTTATATAAAGCATGTTAGATGCATGTTATAGGTTATTTTCAAGGTCATAAAATGAGATAGACGTTAAAATCTATAACAAAGATAAGTGCATGCTCACTTAGGGTTAAGAACCAAGCACGATCAGTTTTAATAGTTAAAATAGGTCGATGTCTTATAAAATTGCGGTTACAAGAAAGCTCACCTGGCACGATCTTGTCTAAGGCTAGAGGTACGTAAGTTGACGGTTTACGGAACACCTACTACCTGGAGATCGGACTAGTACTTGAGCTTAGTTAGCCCAGTTTTATGAGCATGCTTGAGTGATATAAGTTTTAAAAAAATCACCTAGACTTAAATTAATATTTAATTAGCCGGAATATACCTAAGTAAAAGTATACTCAACCGTCTAAAATACTTAGTTGGAGGAAAAAGGTATATGAGATACATCGTTTTCCTTTCACGCTCTCTAAAAAAATCACACCGTGAGATTCATGCTCGGCCTCGTGTCACCCTGGGAGCGTCCTCCATTCGGAAGGTATTTGCATGAGTCAATAACGAGGTGAATAGAGTAAGTACTTATAGTAAGTGGGAGAAGGAAGTATATCAACATGTCCTATGGTCTCCACCACTAGGTTGCACCGTGAGATTCCCATGTTTCGCCTGCATGTTGCCCTAGAGCAACGACCCATTCGGAGGGTCGTCACATGGGAGTCGAAACAACGCAAACTCCAAAAATGGATAGGATTTCTTAGGTCCATTCCCAACTTTGGCTTTTTTATTCGATAGCGTTGTTGACCGATCTCTGAGGTCTGAAATTGATGGGTCACATTTACGAAGAATTACTAAGAGTTAGGGACAAGAGTTATTCTGGGATAAGTGTTTAAGTCAAGAATGTCTTGGTTTAATGAAGGAGTGATAGACTGCCCCTCGGTAGCAGTTGCTCTGACTCACTAAAGTATCGTTGCAAATTAATAATTTTTGGGTACATCATTACATTTGCTAAACCTGATTGGATTAAATCAAATTACTAATAGAATTTTCTTTATATCACAGCATGACAAACTCAGTAGTACAATTACTCGCTACTGAGAAATTAAACAGTGACAATTACGCAACTTGGAAGTCAAACCTAAACACAATACTTGTAATTGATGATTTAAGGTTTCTTTTAACTGAGGAATGTCTTCCAAACCCCAACTCAAATGCAAACAGAAAACTTCGGGATGTATATGACAGATGGAAAAAGGTAAATGACAAAGCCCGAGTGTACATTTTAGCCAGCATATCTGATGTTTTGGCTAAGAAACACGATATCATGGGTACTGCTAAAGAGATTAGGGAATCTCTTAAATGGATGTTTTGACAACCGTCTTTCTCCCTTAGACATTATGCCATAAAATACATTTACCACTACCGTCTGAAAGAAGGGACCTCAGTTAGAGAACATGTCCTGGACATCATGGTCTATTTCAATGTGGCAGAAGAAAATGGAGATGTCGTTGATGAGAAGAGTCAAGCCAGTTTTATCATGGAGTCTCTTCCGAAGAGCTTCTTCCAATTCCGCACAAATGTGATGATGAACAAGATAGAATATAACTTGACTGCTCTTCTCAACGAGCTACAGACTTATCAGTCCCTCTTAACGAACAAGGGACAAAAAGGAGAAACAAATGTTGCTATCTCTAAGAAATTACTACGAGGATCGTCCTCCAAAAATAAGTTCGGACCTTCAACTTCTAAAAGTGTTTTGATAAAGAAGAAGGGTAAGGGGAAGAATAAGATTCCTACTGACCGCAAACACAAGGTTCAAAAAGCAGATAAAGGAAAATGTTTCCATTGCGACAAAAACGGGCACTAGAAGAGAAATTGCCCAAAATACCTTGCAGGTAAATATGATTTACTCGTTGTAGAAATATGTTTAGTAGAGTATGATAACTCAACTTGGATACTAGATTCAGGGGCCACGAATCATATTTGTTCTTTTTTCCAGGAAACTAGATCTTGGAGAATGTTGCAGACAGCGAGATAACACTCAAAGTTGGAACAGGAG